AGCCACCGAATTATTACATTCACCAGTACATGAGCATTCCAACCGTTACAAATTAAATAACTATTTAGAACCTACTATATCATGTCTAAAATGTACAGCCGAGCTTTGGACTGCACTGATAGGTGGGTAAAATGCCTTTAAGATCTAACTAAGGTACGCTCTCGACTATGCTGCAACTAAATATACAATATATTCATCATTGTCCTTAAACTTTTGATATCTGACCCGAATAAGTATATAGGTGAACTATAACCCAATTTCTCATTTGGCTTTAATTAAAAAGTTTTGCCTGTTTTAAAATCCACCTGCCACGAATTGTACAACGCATTGTCAGCGATCCAAGTTATCCAATTTGGTGTTACTCCGCGCGACACATAATTAACTGGGGGTCGTCGGAGTGGTCATGAATAACTAAAGTCTATCTGTCACCTCGTAAAACAGCTGTGAAAATGTTTACATCCCCTCTTTTGCTGAGTTCAGCGCCATCTCTTTTTGAATTCAGTGCACTTTTTAATAGAGTCGTACTCGTAATTACATATATGGGTCTTGTTTTGTTAGTAAAACCATTAATAGCCAACTTGATTTCAAACATTTATATATGGCATTCAGTCTATACACTTTACATTTCTTAGTAGTAAAGTAATTATTTCTACTGAGGTAGAATCCTGGGTAACAGGTGCCTAGCTATTTTCTTTGACAGAAGAGGATAAACAAGCTTAGGGTTTACTTTATAGAAGGTGAAATACCCCAAGCACTAACTAACATCTAAAGATGGCTTTGGACATTCGAAAATAAACGGACTGAAACGCGATTTAATATCCAGATTTCCAGACTAACACAAACATGTTTCAGAAAAATTAATAACACGTTGGGCCCAGTGGGAATCGAATCCACAACCCGTCTATTATAAGCAATAGACTACTACCATGAGACCAAACAAGCCCTATAATATTTCACAAGCCAGTAATCATCTTAATAACTTTGTAAATAATTACATATCTATACTTGAGTTATAAAGCTGAAGAGTTTGTTTGTTTGTTTGAACGCGCTAATCTCATGACCTACTGGTTCGAATTGAATAATCCTTTTTGTGTTAGTTAGAGCATTTATCGAGGAAGGCTATAGGCTATAAAACGCGCCATGACTAATAGGAGTGAAGGGACAGTGGGAAACGCGATGTTTTATAGCCTATAGCCTTCCTCGATAAATGATCTAACCAACGAAAAAATATTTTTTCAATTTAATGCCGTATTTCCTGGGGTTAGCGCGTTCAAACAAACAAACAGACTCTTTAGCTTCATATATTAGTATAGATTACGTACATAATGCATGACGTACTATGCCTAGTTTGGCAAATATTAATTCTCAAAGGGAATTCACGTCATTATACTAACACACTCTACCCGTGTTTTATCATAAATATTTTATACCCCAGACTTATATTCCTTTGGCTACGTATAAAATGCACATACAGGTAATAACGTGGAATGTTCAAGACTGATTGAATTTTCATTTCAAAATAAAATCTTCGATAGCAACTACCGTCCGGCTTTCGTATTTCACAGAAATTCTGTAGAATTTTTACAGCTACCAATTTGAGTTTATCGGGACGGGATTCATTTTCCTTACATGGAAATAGATTTTTTTTTAAGTTCTTCCTCTATGTGGGATATTTTATTTAGTAAGTAGTAAAATTACAAACGGTCTAGTATAAATCAATATTGTCATTTAAATAAAACACTGTTAAGACTGTTACGCAAAATATATTAGCAATATCTGCTAATATGTTTCGTGGCCCGATGACCCGTCGTGTCACTGCAAAGCATCCGAATCGTCGGGCCGGAATTGAATCAAATTAAAAATAAGTTGATTTATATATTTCGCGTTTTAAACCATTAAAAGTGTTTTATTTAAATTAGTACTATTATCTTACTCTACTACTACTATCAACTCGTAAATTAGTTTCTCTCTTACTTACTGTGTATATTTTTACGATGTACCTTAATAAGCCTTTTTTTATTTCTTTTCTCCCGCACTTCAGGTTCCCTGGAAGAGATCGCTGCTTAGCGATAAGGCCGCCTTTTATTTATAAGTTAGTACGTAAGTTTTATATCTTTTGTGGGATTATATTATGAATAATAAAGCTGTAATACTTAAATAAATAAAATATTTCTCGCGTAAGCTACGGTACTTGAATATTCTCATATTTAGTACACAATCAAATGAGAAGTTGTCCGTATAATTAAATTGATGTTAGTATATATGTTTTAGCAATATAAACTTGAGAATCAATGCTTGACCCACCTCGTACATATTCCACAGCGCAAATGTAAATATTCCCCGGGCTGTCCGAGTGCGGAAATCCACCCCGCCTTTGTAAATAATTAATTCGCTCGCCATGTAAGTTGTTCAGTATGAAACATTCATTGAAAATTTAAAGCTGAAAACACGATACGGTGTAGAGGTGTTCTCAACTGTTATGAGCAATATTTGTTTTCCACGAGCCCCATGCGACTAACTAATGTTTAGTTCGGGCCTTTTGCCCGTAACATTTACGTGTACTTTTACGAGGGTTCGCGAGTGGTATCGCACAATAAGAGCGCAGTAAGAATGCGGAAATACTGTGGAAAATGCCTATATACAAATAATGAAGACGATGGAAGTGTATCACAAAATGGTATTCTATAGGCGCTTTGCATTCTGTTTCCGCAATAGGTACCTACGCAACAAAAACACTTTTAACGGTTTAAAACGCGAATGATATTCGTTGACTTTTTATTTAACTTAACTACAGGCCGACGTTTCATCTTCAGTAACGCTAGAACCACGGAAACTAGTGGATTAATTTATTTCTCGTTTAGACCCGTTTAAAATGTTTTATTTCGAGAAATATATCCTTTTTTTATAGTGACGATTCAGATGTCTTACAGCACAACATCAGTTTTTTTTATTTAACAAAATCGTAATAGGAAGTTTGATATTGCCAATTGTGAACATGTCTCGAACTCGCGATTTTAAAAGTAATAGCTATGCATATCATTGTCATTCGGGCTGTTCGGCGGACGTGATCGAGAAGAGATTCTCGACGTTTCGCCATCACGTGTGGACGGCATCATCAGGAGATTTAAATAAAACACTTTAACGGTTTAAAACGCGATATATTAGTTAAACTTATTTAAAAATGATTTTTAACTTCGGCCCGACGTTTCGGATGCATTTTCAAATAAGTTTAACTAATATATCGCGTTTTAAACCGTTAAAGTGTTTTATTTAAATGTGTACTACTCGCGTAAACTATAGACAGTATCATCAGGAGATGTTAAATCTTCGATTGCTCGAGCACCTCTTCTCGCTCAAGTCGGCCGAACAGCCCGAAAGACAATGATATGCTGAACGATGGCCGTGAAAGCCTTACACAATTTAGTAATAACTATGGTTTAATTATGTTCCCGAAATGTTTAATACAGTCGATTAAAAAAAGTTTTGATACTATATTTAGTCTTAATACAGTAAGACTGCAACTGTGAGTATCATGATAAAAACATCGATCAATAAACGGTTCAAATACTCTATTTTCAAAAATATCTAACTTACTTTGTGCAACCATCAAAAACCGCTATAAAAAACTTCACTTTTCATATAAAAAAAAACAAACGAGCGAAAATTCCGTTTCTAACCGACATTGAAACGGAATTATTTATACAAAAATAGATGTTGTTACAATTACATTAATCCAGCGTGGCTTTGATAAAGTCAGTTTACAATAATAGGATTTGTTATTTTCAATCCTTTTAATGTGAAATAAAATCACATGTCAACAGAATAATATTTATTGTGAATAACACAAAGAAATAAATAAGTCCATAAATAAAAGTGACAGTCAATTTCATACATAGGAACATATTTAGAATCGTGACGAAGTAGGAAATACATCATTTGCAGGTTACAAACATTTACAATGAAAAGAGACCTGTCAAATTGTGAAATGTTGTTAAAAATATATCGACAACAGATCACAAAGTAACGACATTTAACATTTCACTGTACTATATTTAATGGTTTAGCTTTAAAGATTTCACTTCAACCTAATTTCCCACTACCGGACATAGGTCTCTCGCTGAGACCCACCACACTTCTCCAGTGCGAGCTGGTGGACTTAAACGTCCGCTAATTTAATGGTGATAACAGGCACACGCGCGACGTGTTTTGCGGTGTACTGGGGTGACACTACTGTTAAATACCAAGTAACATGTTATCTAATCCAAGATTCGAAGCCGGGGCCTCGTGGTGTGTAGTCGAGTGCTAGGCATTTTTGTAAGCATGATTAAATAAAAGTAAACATTATTTATATATAAAAATAACAAGGCTAAAGGAACTCCAACAAATTTAATTATCATAAAGAAATATACATTATGTCTATACATTTATAACTGTAGATTCAGTTAATTAGCAACGTTGCTTTTAATTTGCTTATTTTCAATTCACAGCGCATTTTTTAAATTTAATGACATCACTATTTTATGTTATAAAATATAACATAACTTGTCATTAATACATACAGTAAATTTAACTCTGTATAAGATAGATTTTCTCAACATATCAGTTTTTGTATTTCCATACTTACCTAGTATTTTTATACAATAATAAAGCTTGGGTACTCATAATCAACATTCATCGATAATGATTTTCATTATCATTGATTAAAACTATTTATTACATTAGTTAATATAACCTTTGAACAAGCGTGGAAAGATCCTACTTCTTTTGAAGTTTTGTTGAATCTCATTTAAAGGTGAAAAACACAAAGGTTCACATTTAAATAAAACACTTTAACTTTTAAATACAAAATTATAATTTTCAAATAAGTTTAACTAATATATTGCGTTTTAACCCGTTAAAGTGTTATATTTAAATGTGTACTACTCGCGCAAACTACAGACAGCATTTACAAAGGTGTATGCCTTTTAACATCACAATAATTATAAGCAAATATATTGTATTCAAGGTACTATAGTTACTGCATAAGGATTAGTGCTAACTAATTGAACATTATTGATGCATCCAATCAACCAATTCTTCGTCACGTGTCTTGGATCACTTGATATTTTCCGTTTCAATTTCTGCATTCTCCTAAACTCTATCTCTTTATCAGTATGTATAACGAAATCGACGTCCATTTGTTTTAACGATTTCACAACTGTACCACCGTATGCTATCCAGTGTCTCTCAAAGATATCTCTCTCTTCTTCGGGTACACTTATAAAATCAGGGTAAAATCCAAGTCTTTTGTCCTTAAATACGTCTGGTAAGGGATTTAAAGGCTCTTTTGGGTCATCGAATTGTAATATATCCATTGTTTCATCTGAGTCTTCCTCTTTTATATTAAGTTTCTTTTTTATACTTTTTTCTGTGCTATTTGTGTCTTTAGGAGATTTTATTTCCTTTTTAATAAATGCATCTAAAGTGCCTTTCGAGGGACTAGGTTTTGATTCCTTTGGGGCGTCGACTTTTTCCCGTTTCACAAAAGAATCCAAGTTATTCGTTTTATTTGGAGTTTTTTTCAATTTTTTCTTAGGCGGTTCAGTCTCTGATGCTGTCGCAGCCAATTTATTCAGAAGAGACACGTCTGTCTTCTCTTTTGATGTATTATATAGATTTTTTAACTCTACTAAGTTTGTGGCCGTTTTCCAGTCCTTATCATTTCTTATTCTAGTGACTCGAGGAAATCTCACTGAAATGCCATCAGCTGTGTGTAGATTTGCTTTTGTTAGTTCAGTTCCTGTAAATAATTAGTCAATCAATAACATACAGTACAAAATACAAAGATAAGATTCTAAGACAAATACACACATGTATATTTTATAATTAAGAAAATACTTACACATAAAGGCTACAGTGATTGTAAACAGTTGCTTGATTGTTCATTACTTTATATTTAATACTTTTGTGAAGCTGAATAAAACAATAAATTGTTACCTGTAATCTCCCATACAGGTTGTTTCTGTGGATCCAAAGCCACAAAATCTGGTACCATCCCTTTATTACAATCCAGCCACATTGGTACCTTATTATAGTCTTGAGATATTTTTGTCATAAGTGGAGCTAATTCTTTTTGTAGTCTTTCCAGAGTATTGTCATCATGTCCAGTGTGTACTTTTGTTACTGTCACCCATTTGTTTTTATGAGTATCCAAACAGCCCATTAGAAACACAGACATCATTCCACCTTTTTTACCAGTTCCTGTAATGTACAATAAATCATTTTGAAATAAACTGTTATTTACTTACAATATGGAAATACTCATGCCTTTCAACATGAGTATTTCCATATTGTAAGTAGCACATTGCATACAATAGTAATTAGTTACATTAAATGGATTGTTGAATTCACGAAATTTTTTTTTAAATATCAACACTGAACTAAACACATAAACATAGAAAGTATAAGTAAAATTTCCAAATGTGCAGGTTGAAAACCCGTTACAAGACACATAATATTATATATATTATTGGATAAGTAACAAAAATAAAAGTACCAACCGAACCAAGCTCCTAAAACAACTAAATCGGCAGTATCAGCCATGGCTCCATCAAACAAATAGTCTTTCTTCACTTTTAGCCAATGTCGTTTACCGGGCTCATATGTAGATTCTAAATCTTTAAGTACTAAACCTTCTAAGCCCAACTGTAACACCTGAAATGAAATTATTCATAATCAACCTTCCTATTAAAGTTTGGCCCATTTATACTTAAATGGTTTAAGATAAAATATGATTATATTATATGTATATTAAGTTAATTATTTGACATCTGCAATGCACTAACACAAAATAAATATATTAGACTAATAATAATTGAATACTCTATAGTTGTAGTATACTAGTTGTCAAATTGCATTGTTTTGAATTATTACTACTTAATGTTTGTTTGGGAGATCTATTTGTAGTTTTGTCTATACTCAAGGGATTGTTACAAAAATGAAATAAAGAAGAACTAAATAATGTCATATATATTACCTCAGCTATCATATTAGCTAAATCTGCAGGCTTCCTTATTAGCTGCTGTTCGGAAAACATTATATGATTCTTCACTTCAACCATGTTTTCATGTAATATTTGTCTTCTCCTCTTTATAGGCATATCCATTAAAACTTCTCCATTATAATATAAACAATCAAATATGTATAGACAGACTTGCGCATCTTTAAACTCGGATTGTTTATGGACACCCAATGTACCAAATGGCAAAGGTTTCCCTGTTTTAACATCCACCATTAATACTTCAGCGTCTAATATCATATCTTCGCCCTTAGGGAATGCTTGGGGTAAGTAATCTTTAAAATGGCTAACTTTATGAGGCATCACTGGTTTTAAGGCTCGAGAGAAGTATTTGAACTCTTTACCTTTTTTGTGTACCTGAACTCGTTCTCCGTCATATTTTATTTCAGAAAACATCCCATTAGGGCATTTCTTCATTGCCATTTCTACTGATTTACAGGCCTCAGCCAGCATTGGCAATATTGGGGTCATAAGACTTAGTTTAGCATGGACTGTCTTCGGAGAAGCATCCTTACGTTTTATATTACTGTTATTTAAAAGAACCTTATCTAAAACCATGTCAAGATCTCGAGATGTCTGAAAAACTTTATAGGCATCAGGATGGACACCTTCTAATATATGCTTTGGTCCTGCATTTATTCTCAGGTCACCTTTAATTAACCTTATCAACATTGTTATATCATTTAAGGAGCACTTTTTCACTATTTTCTTGAAATGGTATATCTGTTCATCTTCTTTTGTCAGTTTTGAGAGTTCTTCAAGAAATGTTTCAATGTCTTGGATTGTTAAAGTACTTTCCATGGCTGGTTGAACTGCTCTTGACTTTGAGAAGAATTTTTGGATAGTATCAGCAACATCACCTTGTTCTAAATGTGTTAACATATCATCATGATCAATATTAAAGATTCGGGAGAAAAGTTTTACAAGTTGTTTGCTTTTTAAATTGTATACCCTTTTTGATACTTGTGGTAATAACATTTTACACCACAACACAACATCACCTTTAAATTTATTATTGCAACCATTAGTAAAAAAATTATTTACTAGTGCTGTTTTTTCTGTATATGCGTCCACTTTAGAAATCTTTTTGCATAGTGAGTAAAATGTAGAAAACTTATTATCATCTGTAGAAATCTCTGTACCGTCACTACTTTTACTTGGTGAAGCAAGTTTTGAACTCTGTGTTGCAGTGGATTCATTTTTTAACACCTTAGCTGTATATTTCCCTGAATGTTTGTCAGCATACAACTTTTCCATTTCATTGATCTTCTTTATAATGTACTCCTGGTCTTCCTGGCTTAAGTTTGCCCAATTACCTATGTCATCTATGGAATCTATCCTCTTTGTGGCTGGGCGTTGTTTCAACAGAGCGTTCATCAAACAATCTACGTGGTGCCATGACTTCATCTGTTGATTCTCTCCATATGGACTTGGTACAATTTTGGCAATGCGTATTTCCCCGCTGGGACAGTTACCTTTACAACCCTTGCAAGAAGCTCTGCCTACTTTCGCTCGATCAACGAAAAACGGTGTAAAATCAGACATGTTAAATTGCTCTTCCTTCTTATAACAGTACAACAATAAACTAAATCTTTGTTTTACACCGTTTCGAAAGGCTGTTTTTTAATATTATGAAACAACATAACACATAAGAGCCAAAATTTACTTAATTCTGAAAGTCTAACACATATGTTATATTTAAAATTCAGAGAATTTGTAAGAATCAGACGAAATTTTATAAATTTGTAAATAAAAACATTAAGAACTTGAGGACCGACAGCGTTAAACAAACCAATAGTCGAGAAATGACAAAACGTTAAACGTTTTGACAGACGACTTATTAACAACAATTGACTTATACTAGTGATGCAAAACCGGAGATTACATTTTAATACATAACTGCTCCTTGGTCGAGTTTTTTAATTTTTATACCGGATCTCGACAAATATTGTAAAAAAAAATATATACAGTATATGTATTACTTGTAACGTAATAAGAATACTGGTTCCTACCTCAAACACTTCAATTGAACGCTGAAAACCACAGATTGTATAGTTTGACGCATGCGCGGTTACAAATCGATAGGGTTGAGCCACAACTGACCTTTCAATTAGCGGCTTTTTTGAATTATCTTTTATTAATAATCATTATGTGTATTGATGAAACATGTTGTTTATTCACAGCTTCTTCGTGTCACCAAGAATTTAATAGCGACGGATCAAAATATGGAACCCTGACGTCACCTCATTATCCTTTAGCCTATCCTTCAAATACACACTGCCACTACGAATTTTTCGGAAGAGGAAAAGAAAGAATAAGACTTGTGTTTCAAGACTTCTTTTTGTATAAACCACCTGATGGTTCTCTTGAGTATGTATAAAAAGAAAATATTATCATCGATTATTTTAGTCGAATAATTTTAATTCACTAACTACTGTAACTTATGTATTTTTAATTTATTTACAGATGTAATAACGTCGACTCCCTTCAAGCTTTCATCAATGTAGATGGGAGATTAGAGAATGTGGCTACGTTTTGTGGGGTGGATCTTCCAAAGCCTATCATGTCTAATGGAGCAAAACTTATGCTGGAATTTCGTGGAACACAATCCGCGAGACATGCGAGGGGATTTAAAATTTCATATTCATTTGTTGAAAGTAAGTTTTAATCAACGAATATTTTAATCAACATCTACTAAATTTTTAACCTAAAATTAAATATTAAAATAATAATTTTTTATTGGTTTGATACGCGATATATATAAGTTAACTTATTCTTAATATATTTTTATTGCGACCCTATTTTTTAACATAACTTGAATAACTATAAATAAAAGTATAATAAAAAACCCTTCTTTAAATAACGTCACAGAAACTTTGCAACTGCAACTAAAATAATTACCACACAACTTTAATAAATATTCAAAAAATAGAACGATTTGATTTTATAAAATCCTTACGTAATTCCAGACTTTGGCATATCTACTGGACGACAGCTGAAAGAATTTCCATGTGCCTTTGTGTATAACAGCAGTGAAGCCCGGAATGGCACATTTGCTTCTCCTAACTCTCCGGGGCCATATCCAAGAGATACAGAGTGTTCTTATTTCTTCCATGGAGGGCAAACAGAGAAAGTTCACCTTCACTTTACACATTTTGATATTGAAGGCGTATCGCCGTAAGTTCAAAACTTATTGTTTTGTTTTTCCTTTGCACGTAAAAAACGCTCTTAAATAAAATCCTGTAAATAGTACTTAGAAAAGACCTGACAAGTGTAAGTGTAAATGAGGGGGAAAATTTCAAGCCCTACATTTTCGTTATATGCTTTTGGATATTGGACACAGATACAAAAAACGGTTTCTTACAACCTACTTTACTATAACACACCTAGGCATAAGCCAACTCTCGATTTCTCGAATACGAGAGAATTATTGCTAATATAAGCTTCTTCTTACCACGCTGCTCTAGGGCGGGGTCATGAGCTTTAAACAGTACCGCCGGCGATAACCGATTCAACGGTCTAACGTGCTCTTCAAGGCATACACCTCCTACTTTTTAACTTCGAGCTGGAAAAGAAAAAAAAAACCGAGTAAATGAATTCGCCCTACCCAGGAATCCAAACCTGATCCCAACCCAAACTAGACCAACGGGTCTAGTTTGGGTCGGGATCAAATCAGTAAGATGACCGTTAATGTTTAAAATATACATTTCAGATGCGAAGCAGTTTCAGCAAGTGATTACGTGGAGTTTTCAAATTATATGACTGAAGACAATAGATATGGCAGATACTGTGGTCAACAAAAGGATTTTCATGTGGAATCCGAACGTAACTTTTTCAAAGTCACATTTCGATCGAACGATCGCTTAGATGGCACCGGGTTTAAAGCAATCTATCAGTTTTTAGAAGCTTCCGATGAGTATCAAGCTCCGATGTCCGACTTCACACCGTGTCTTTTCCGTTAGTATTATAAAGCCTTTACTGTTTATAAAGTAAATACTCTTATATAAAATATATATCTACTCTAACTGGGCAAAAAAAATGTTTTTGAAAAGCTCATCCACATCTCCATAAATTGTTGCTATTACCCACGACGTCGTACGCGTCCCGCCGTTTTTGCAAGATTTTCTTAATAGATAGACATATACCGTCATGTACATTTTTTCATACATATTTATTGGGTGTCTTGTACCGCTTACGTAGTGTACGCAATGGAAACCCACCTGGATGAATAATTTTTCCTCATTTTTTGACAATTGTTGTATCTTCGCTCCTATAAGTCACAGCGCTATGTTATATAGCCTTCCTCAACAAATGCTCTAACCAACTCTTAAAAAAATGTATTAATTCGAGCTAGTAGTTCCCGAGATTAGCGCGTTTAAACATACAAAAGAACAAACACACCCTTCAACTTTATATATTAGTATAGATATTGAATTAAGACAATGTAAATAGTATGATTAAAGCTACCAGAAGTCTATATGTATGACAAGAATATAGTTGAAAAGTCCACACTTTATAACTAGGCAAACCTGAATATACACTTAATTTTTTTAATTTCAGCGTTGCGGTTATGCTTACTACTTCTGGCCATCATCGCTGGTTCACTGCATCGACTCTATCATTAAAGATAATATAAAGTGATATTAGATTTATTATAAATTAAGTAGTTTAATAATCCTGTACATTTTGTACCATAGTCTGTGCCATATACTTGTAATTTATTCGTAGGCATTTCAAATTTTTCTATAAGCAAACGGTAAATTTTCTCTTACCAAATAAAGCAATATAACACAATAATGTTTTATTCACGAAGGCACATAAGTAAAACTTAATATAAATAAATTATATTAAACAGATGTGTTATTTTATTTCTAAGTAAGGAATATAACTATCCATAATAATTAAAGTTAGTTTTTTGCTTCGAATCATTATAATCATGGTATGAAATAATAACATACAATTAATACCAAAATCCATCAAAAAATATTTTATATATAAATCGTTTCCACAAACTAGTAAACTTTACAATTACCAGAGTTAATGTTATAAATCACGCTACAATAATAACCGATAAAGTTACCGTAAACTACAAAGTACCGATTCAAACGAACGAAGCACAACACTATGTAAGGCTTTCGGGTAACGGTTAGCGGTTTTTCAGTTTCCGACTTTCGCCGTTTAGTACGAGTTCAACCACGTAGGAGTTGTGTTGTCTGTTTGTTGAATATTTATAAGAGAACTTTTCACGATTTGTTGATAATACGTTTTTATTGATATTGAAAACTAACGTCAAGTGTTATACGGGTATACTGATTTATTGTGGACTGTTGTGTTGGAATTTTTCCTGTTAAAAGTGTCACATTCCGGGACAAAGTTGTCTCGGGAACCTGCAGACAGGTGGATTTGTATTTCGTGTTAAGAAGTAAGTTTTTAATATTCATTTTACACATATTTAGCTTATTCTACAATCGTTTGATGCTAATTGGGTATTTGAGTTCTTATTTATAGATTTTTAAAGTGCTTTTTCGTAAAAGCTTTTATTATATTGGTTTATACTTATACACATGACTACAAGCCTTCAAGGTCCGCATTTTCATATATTTCAATAAATACGACTTAAATTATACCTAACTCCATCTTCAACTCTTATAGCCTCCAAAGAGTGGATATACCTATCACACAAGTCTACAAAGCGGGCTTAATGAAGGCAAAGTTAAGAAAATCGTTAAACTTACACGGGTAAATTGCTATGTATAAAGTTTGTATGAGCGTTTGCCGATGCTTCCTCTCATGTCAACCGTAGAAACGTAGATCACGGGATGATCTAAGCATTGTAACGCGTGAATGATTAAAGCACGGAAGCCGCTTGTTAAGGTGCCAAAGCGTTATAATTAACAATCGATCAGTAAAAGATTTTCAATTAATCGACTAAGCGGTACATTTCAAGAACTTTATGGCTCAAAAGTCGAATGCAATATTTTAAGAGAATTTGCGCTTCTGTATTGTTCATTAACTACCCACTCTTAATGTTTTTTTTATAAGTTTTGGGTGGCCAAAGAGTCTAAAACATGCTTAAGTTAGACCATTATAACTTAAATTGCAATAGTAACGATTCTTATGTTTTACTTACAAATCGGCCTTTGTTACTTAGCTTAGCTTGTCTAGCGTGTCAGTCGTGTTAAAACAGTGCAAGGAATCATCTTAAACAAAGATGGACGAATAATTGTTCTTAGAAGTGTGTTTTGACCAACTACCTATTTATTTAAATAAAACATTTTAACGGTTAAAAACGCGATATATTACTTAAACTTATTTGAAAATGATTTTTAACTTCGGCCCGACGTTTCGGATGCTTTGCCCGAGTCTCCCCGTGATGGCCCAAGAGCCCACGACGGCCAGACCTTCGTTATTTTATAAAAGTTGAAATTTTCTCTGTACATGTCTCCTATACGGGTAAGAACGACCAGCGACTATAGAGTTTTGGTTGTGGTTACTTGGGCAGGTAACAGGTAGTAAAGGTGTATAAAATAGTACTTAAAATTTGTTAGAGCATAATGCTCAATTTTTTTATATTTTGTTCGGGATAACTATAGAAATCTCGTCATCCATTGCCGGACACTTATGACAGTTGCTACCCCTTGCCAGACACCCCTAAACTTTGATAAATTACAATTATACTTTCATTATAGTATAAAAGCTCAATTTTATATATGTTACTTGGGGACCTATAAAAAGATGTTACCTCAATAGCCGGACAGTTTTTGTGGTTTTTACATCTTGCCAGACACATTGAAAGTCCACTGTGCGAGCGCGAGGTAACAACTATTCAAGCGGGTGCGAGTGAGATAAAGCACTTAGTCAAGTGCGTTCTTTTACTGCGCGCTATCTGTTATTTAGTGATGTATTGAATTGTTATGTTGTATTTGTGCAGTTTTTTGTGAAATAAAAGCATAATTTTAGTAAAAAGTGTTATCGTGGGAGATACATTAATTTGTTTCGTTTGTAATAAAAGTGATGGTAAAATAATATTGTGCTCTTCAGAAAAGGAAAATTAAGACCATACAAGATATTAAAAAAAGATCCAGAGTACCAGGAAGCTTTCAAGAACTTCGGCAACAACGAATTAATTGGAAATTTAAATTATCAACAAAACATCTTTAATATTATTCAGAGATTTATATGTAATGTCTACAATGTCCCTAATGTAATTGATGTTGATGGCGCTAGACTTCAAATATTCATCGACTCGTACACAGTCTCCGATGTAAACGAAGCTTTTGACCTAAAGAAGTTGCGAAATTTTGACGCTAGCAACCTACCGCCTTGCAAAAGCGAGCTACTGCAGCAATTTCTGCGAGCAAACTATGTATGTACCATTTGGAATAATGCTCATTTGAAAAATCCAACCACATATCAACCAGACAATACCGGCTGGGTATTAAAAGATGACAAATACCAGTTCAAATGGTTTAAAGGGAATCAACTACCGAGCTATGTTAGGGATTCGCTCAAAACTCAATCAGGTATATAATTATTATGACAAATTATGATACATAATTTTTTAATTATTCATAATTGTATAAACTTGCTTATTTTTCTTTCAGAAACTGACGAAGAAGGTGATGTTGAGGACGATCATGCCATCGATTGGAGTAGTAGTGATGAAGAAAATGATAACATCGACGACAATGCTTAAATTAATAAACAAGTTTAAATTTTTTTTTTACCTGTAATCACACTTTTTATTATATTTTTATGATATTAAACTAATATTTTTTACTTTATACAACATGGCTATGAACGCAATAAAATTATTTTTTATTAGATATCTTAAAAAATAGTAATCGACTAGGTATTCGCGCTCGCACCTACAGTGGACTTTCAATGTGTCTGGCAAGATGTAAAAACCACAAAAACTGTCCGGCTATTGAGGTAACATCTTTTTATAGGTCCCCAAGTAACATATATAAAATTGAGCTTTTATACTATAATGAAAGTATAATTGTAATTTATCAAAGTTTAGGGGTGTCTGGCAAGGGGTAGCAACTGTCATAAGTGTCCGGCAATGGATGACGAGATTTCTATAGTTATCCCGAAAAAAATATAAAAAAATTGAGCATTATGCTCTAACAAATTTTAAGTACTATTTTATACACCTTTACTACCTGTTACCTGCCCAAGTAACCACAACCAAAACTCTATAGTCGCTGGTCGTTCTTACCCGTATAGGAGACATGTACAGAGAAAATTTCAACTTTTATAAAATAACGAAGGTCTGGCCGTCGTGGGCTCTTGATCTATGACCACGGCTGCTACAAAGCATCCGAAACGGGCCGAAGTTAAAAATTATTTTCAAATAAGTTTAACTAATATATCGCGTTTTAAACCGTTAAAGTGTTTTCTTTAAATGTGTACTACTCGCGTAAACTATAGACAGTAACTACCTATTTAGGTATGTTTATATTATTGTGGATTGATAAATGAAGATAGTTTAAAGGGTGATTAAAAACAAACAATACTTGATATAATATTAATACGATGTATAGGCGTTAATGTATTAGATATACCTAACGTTTATAACGTAATAAGGAAACATTTGATTCTGAAGTCACTTATACCAGTAAAAAATAGATAATTTTCGTTCCGTCTACGTTTTCGTTCGTGTCATTGCCATTATCGTTTTTTACATAAAATAAATATTTTGAACGAAGATAGCCATATTCAATCGATTACTGACGGTATTTTTTACAACACATTGATCTTGAATCCAAAGTTCAGTTGCGCTTGATGAGATTTTTAACGAGCTACGAAAAAACGGTAAAGCTTAGAGCTTAAAAAACTAAGCTATCTCACCGAAATTTATACTTACTTAAATTTTAAATTATTATTTGTGAGGTAGGTAATGAAAAATGTATTTTAGATATAGATGACACATGAAACATTTTAACCGACCACAGTATTATGTACTGTTGCCCGGACCAAATGAACGACGTTCAGAAGATTTTAATTTATATAAAGCTATCACTAATATGTAAAGATAATATTGTTTCATAAAACCATATACATAGTACCTATCGTAATACGGCTTTATAGTTTCGAATGTTCTATAACATACTCGTAATACCTAAAGAGGGTCAATATATATCTTTTTTATGATTTTATACATATGGTCAATAAAATTTTATTATTTCCCGCTTGTATATATATATTTCTAGATTTAATAATATGGCATATGGAAATTACAAATTAGATACTTTTTACATTCCCACGTGCATCGTTTTATTATTAATTGCCTTCTAATTAATAACAAACTAGTTATTAATAGCTCGGATGGTTTCTTTACATAATGAATTAACATATTGAAAATTTATCATATAACTTTTATGGATTCCTTTCTAAATCAAATGCTGATTATATTTATATTAATTACCTACGTATAGAGATTATCAGTAAAATTATTAGCATCATTGAAATAAAACAGTTTAACGCGAATTATATTAGTTAAACTTATTGGAAAATAATTTTCGGCCGTCGGGCCGTAGTTACGATAATATTCTAAGTTTAATATATATCGCGTTTTAAACCGTTAAAGTGTTTTATTAAGATGTGTACTACTCGCGTACGCTACATACGGTATTTAAATATTACCACGTGAACTAAGTTGTCACAGATTTAATATTTCACGCTTTTCTGGTCGTTTATGCAAACTATTGAAATGCCTATCCTTGCTCCAAATAAAACACATTTATTATGCAAATAATCTAAACTTGTTAAACAATGTGCGTAATTATGAATTCGATGCTGTGTTTATTAATTCAGTATGGATCGTTAGATTATAATGTTAATTTTGTATCGAATCGTTTCGATGGCCATAACTTGTAGGAAAAACTTACAACAATATCAGTCATTTGCATAACTCATGTACCTAGAACTAAAGAAGAAATATGAAATAACTAGATGTGTCAGCGACGTCGTCTGCGTAGAATAGTTACTTAGGGCATTTTAAACTGCTTTTGCGAAGCTCCACCTAATCTTTATACAATAAAGCATTTACTCATGTCCCGTCGTATTGTAAGTTTAGCTTAAAACATAGACGTAAAGTGTCGCTATCATTTTTACATTTAATAAAGAGGAATCATTCTTTAATTAAGTTTTTGGGTATCTGGCACCGTCTTCGCAACACACTTAGTATTTTTTTCCTATTTTTTTTTACATTTCCCGCTGCTTTTTCCAGCTCCCATTAGTTACAGCGACATTTTAATGCATTCCGCGATAAATGCTCTAACCAAAACAAAAATATTTTTTCAATTCGAACCAGTAGTTCCTAAAATTAGCGCGCTCAAACAAACCAAATAAAAATAGCTATCTAGTACTATGATTTACGCATCTCTCCCTTGAAATTTACATACGTCGTTATACAAGTTTATATGCACCAAGGATTACAAGGTTTCGTTCATAAGCCAAGCCATATAACAACAGCAGATGTGAGACGACAGGTGACCGAGTTCGATTCAGGTAAAGACTTTTTATAAACAAACAAAAAGATGTCCATAACTCCTTATGCAGGGCGCTGTTTGTTTTAATAAGCGCTACAAGGTTAAATTGGACGAAAATATATTATTTTAAATACTGTCTATAGTTTACGCGAGTTAGTATTAGTAACTAATATATTGCGTTTTAAACCGTTAAAGTGTTTTATTTAAATATATTATTTTGTTTAGGAAATAACAAAATGACCATTCGGTTAAAAGCAATGCCAGATATATATTTTAGTACTTGTTATATTAATTTTACGAAGAAATTTGACGTCATGTTCCTCTCAGTGTTTTCATTATCATTACATACGTTGCGAAAAAAAATGAACTAAAGCCTAAATGCTAAATAAAAATATGATAATTACGTAACAAAACAAAGTAACCACTGCGATATAAGTAGGTATAATTGTGAAAAGCAAGCAAAACTTGCTCTCAACATTAAGAATTATATACAGTGCCTTCCCTGCGGGGCAAACACATTTCTGTGGCCTCTTCACTAATCGATTTTATTTACAGGCCTATTATATTTTATCCCTGTTTCGAACCCAGGAACCGCGTTAACGCGATTCTAAACAACGCGTTTTACCGCTGTGCTATGGAAGCAGTAAATATTTGCATATAAATCCTATAAATTTAGGTGATAAATAACGTTGTTTTAGCTCTTAGCTTTAAGTACGAAGTAAAATAAACAAGCGCATCTGATACGATTACCAATTCAAAATTAATTCAGCTGAATAGTATAGAGCTTATGAATTTTAACTCTCACGACTCCTGAGATCAGATTCGAGTGTTTGCACACCATTATGGTTACATTAACGAATAGTTTTGCTGGTAACGTGTTCGGGATGAACTGGCTTTAACATAAACTTAGCTACGGTATAACTTGCAGAACTGGGTACTATGTTGAAACAGGCATCTCTATTTATTACTGTACAAGTTCCTTTATCAACATTTTTTTAAAATGTTGATAATTTTGTAACTGCAAGTACTACTAAAGTCGATTGTTACTAGACACTTTAGGTTGACGGGAACGACACTTTGATTCAATCTATTAAGAAATAATAAACTAAATGCGACAATCTGAACAAACCGTTTTCCTTAATACTGTCTGTAGTTTACGAATAGTAAACATTTAAATAAAACACTTTACCGGTTTAAAACGCAATATATATGAGTTAAACTTAATTGAACCTTTGGAATAACCACGGCCCGACGTTTCGGATGCTTTGTAGCCGCCGTGGTCACGGGGAGACTCCCCGTAGTTGAAATAATTTTGAAATACTTTGTGTTTTATTTAAACTTTTTTCTTTGTTAAAAATATCAATTCTAGTACTCTGTAATTTTATTATTTTTACTTTATAGTCATATTATATAGTTGAAGAGTTTGTTTGACTGCGCTAAACTCAATCTTTCTTCAAAATTATGTAGACAAAGTTCTGCGACTGCGATATGTCTATTTTTTAAATTCACTCGCAAGAATTTATTGCATTATTACCAATATTTTTTTTAGATTTGTATCAACATTATTCTTGCAAACAATAAAACGTGGTTCACGAATCATTTTATAAACAATACGAATCTTAGTTGTAAAAAGAGCTAAGCGCCTTTATATCACTCAGGTTTAAGTATTTATTGAAAGTTTAAAATCAATACTACATACATATCTACTATGCGGGGTGTGTCTATCAAATACCAAGACATTACTCAGCTTATCACAGTCCAAAACCATCACAGGATAGAAAGCCTTTAGATAAATACGGGTTTGTTTCTCGTTAACGGCTATCTACTCTAGTTCACAAATGTCCATTAAGACAGGACTATTATTAATGCAAACTGTACTTAGGTTTTGAATCATTCATTGAGCTTGCAATGAAATGCATGTTGTGTGGCTGATCGTGACTTGTGCGTTCAGTAATGAGGTGTCGGGTCTAATATTAGTTTAACCGTTATGAGTAAATATTGATTAATTTTCGACGGGTTGTTTGATCTAAAAGTATATTCGTTCTGGAACGCGTCAAAATTTTACGGAAAACCTGGACTTATAATGAAATCGGAATTTCGTCTGAGTCACGAACAACGGTCTATAGATGGAAGTCGCCAAGAAGCGCGCGTTTCGGTTTCAGTGCGTAGTTTTTTATGCATAGTCAAAATAGGCTGGCGT